TGAATACGCCTAGTTTCAGTAGGATCTTCAGGCAAGGTGCCCTATGTTAAGTAGAGGGTAATGGGATCCAGCCAACAGGGCATCACAAGTGCTTCTGTCTGCATGACGTTCTCCGACAGCTTAGAAATGCTGGGTTGCTCGAGAGTGTTGGTGTAAACGGGCCCTGAGCTAATCCTTAAGCTCATCAACTCGAGCTTGGAAAGGGCATCTGCCGGGGTGTTGAGAGCGCGGGGGACTTGGGCCATCTTAAAATCCTAGAAACTCGTTAATAGTTACTTAGCAGCTTTGAGGTATAAGGTCATCCTTGGGTCTTTAGCCGCATATCGTCCATTCACCTGATGCGCAACCAACTGTGAGTCAACCAATATGTAGAGGTGTTCTGCCTTTAGTGCTTGCGCCCCTCGAAGGCCAGCTAGAAGAGCCTTATATTCGACTTTATTATTTGAGGCCAAGAAGTCAAAAGAGATGGAGTGCTCATGCATCAACCCGTCAGGACTACGCAGGACCACTCCTGCTCCATTGTCGGCTTCTTCGAAGGACTCATCCACCTTCAACAACCATCATGAGGCGAATTCAGGTGAATCATGTTTCAGAGTGTGACGGATCTGTGGGGTAGATGCTTGGACTGTTGGTGACACTGGAGGTTCTTAGCGAGTCGACTGTGAGGGAGTGGTTGGCTCGTCGCTTGACGAGGGCGACTCAATCAGAAAGTCGACCAATGCTTGAGCTTTGATTGTCATCCTGGGCTCGAACTGTACATCATGCTCACTGAGTTCGATTGCCCATGAGACCATTCTCCCAGAGACTGTGGGGATGCCTAGTGCTTTCTTCAGAGGTACACTTGTCTGCATAATTATGGAATGGGCCTGAAAGTAAGTGCGGAGTCTCCTCACAGTGGTGATGAGGGTGAAGGCAGCCTTTTCTATAAGGGGGTAGTTGAGCTCGTCCGGTTTTAAAATTTGGCTCACGTAGTACACGGGCTTCTGGACGTTCTCTTCTTCTTGAACGAGGACGGAGCTGACGGCCTCGGAGGAGATGGCCATATAAAGATACAAAGTCTCTCCTCCTATGGGCTAGCTCAACAATCACTTGGTACTCAAGTAGGTCTTAAGATCCTGAAAAGCCACACTGCATTCAGCCGTCTAAGTCATGCTCTCCTTCAAGTTCTTGCTTCCCTCAAAGTTTTGAAGAATGGGAGGCTCCTCTTAGCAGATTTGGAGATGAATCGACCTAGCGCCGCTATCTTCCCGTTCAGCTTCTGGATGTCCTTCAAAGTGCGTAGCTCGGGCAGTCGCTCTATGGCGTCTATCTTCTCGGAGTTGATCTTTATGCCTCTCTGGGTGATTATGAACCCTAGGAACATTCCTGATTGCACCCCAAAGGCACACTTGGTGGGATTGAGCTTCATGCGGTAGCGTCAGAGGGTGGTGAAGGTCTTTACCAGATCTGATATGTAGGCCGAGGCTTGTTTCCACATAAGCCTCCAGATTATGGCCGATTTGGTGCTTTAAGACATTATTGACAAGTCTCTGGTATAGGGCTCCTACGTTCTTCAATCCGAATGACATCATCTTGTAACAATAGGTCCCCAAGTCGGCGATAAAAGGAGGTCTTCTGAGCTGTTTCTTCAAGCTGAGCTTGAGTAACGTAGCTCTGGTGTAGTCCTATAGGGTGAGACTGGTCAGCCCTATCCTCAGAACCAACCATGTTTTCTCAAAAAGGAATGAATGCCCCACAATGGGCGCCAAAATGTTGATGTTAAGTAATCAAACAATCAAATAAATTGGTTAAGATGGATTAGGGGGCTGCTCATTTCTCCAAATATCTCGTTTTGAGTTTAATATCTTCCAGCCTGCACAAATAGCAACTCGTGAGAGGACGAGGCTTAGTTCCCTCATTGTACCTACAATGATCAAGTCAGCTGGTGAACTTGAGTAGGAAAATGAACTACGAGAGTTCTTTAGTGTAGTACAGCATAATCTACTGATATTGCTAGAAAAAGAATCCTTGGAAAAAGATCCTCTTTATGTTGAGAATAGTACCTCTATTTGTAGTGGTGCTGAAAGGATAGAACCATCACTTCGGCTGAGCACAGGAAAGTGGTAAGAAGGTATGAGCTGGCGGCTGCGTCAGTTACACGTGCCTGTCGGCGAGTGGAGGAGAGATCACCTCAGCATTAAATGAGAAGTGATCGGAGGCATGACGGTACTGACGTGGTCCGATGAGTCATGAAGACTATCAGGGCTAGAGATATGATGCGTCTACAAAACATTAAATGTGATACTGACGTGCTGTTGCAGGAGAGGCTCGAGACTCTACAAAACATTAAATGTGATACTGACGTGCTGTTGCAGGAGAGGCTCGAGACTGAAGTCGTCCTTTAGCTTGGCCGAGGAGTAACACCTTTCGAGTCGACCTCACGAGGCGTCGCATAACTGGTCGAGTAGGCTCGTGCAAAGTCGTCTTCGACAAGATGACCGACAAGTACCGTCATTCGAGTCGACTTAAGGAAATATCGACTCGGCGGGTTGCTAAGTTGAGATTCTTGGTGGTTTTGACCGTCAATCTGACTTAAGCGGTGCATGTAGGGGGACACCTGTCCATTGCTAACAAAGGGCCGTACTTTGGTGACCGAAAACACCATAACAGGACCTAATAATAATTTTAATGATTTGAGGGCCTAATTTTAAAATATTAAAGATAAAGCGATTATTATTGAAATAATCCAAAAGAGGCTTTTGATAGATTTTTCAAGGGCATTTTCTGTAAAAACCACCTCTAACATATGACCACTCTATAAAACCATCTTTAAATTTTAAATTATATATAAACCATATTGTTTAAAGTATTTTTCTCTGCAATCAACCGCGTAAACTTACTTTTAAGTCATTTTTTTTCCGATTTTATATATTAACCAGTTGTTAAATAACAAATATATTTGAGTGGTGACCCTTAATGCAGGCTTGGTGGGATCAATTACAGTGAATTTTAACTAAGGAGTGAGCCAACGTAGTAGATTGCAATAAAAAATATTTTAAACATAGTTTACATATAAGGGGCTGTTTGTTTGCCTAAAAAAAGAGGGAAACAAAAGAAATGGAAAACTATTTCTAAGAAAAAATTATTTTGAGAATGTTTGGTTGGCTAAAAAAAGAAGGAAATCAAAGAGATGATATGATGTTAGTTGTCACATTGTTATTGGATGATGTGAGTGATTTGTTAAGAAAACTTGTTTTGATTTTGTTTGGTTGGCGAAAAAAAAGAAAATGAATTATAAAAACATATTTCCTGTAATAGGTTGTTTACTTTTATTTGGTTCATTCTTAAAAATAAGAAAATATATGAGATGAGATGAGTTGTCATTATATTATTGAATGATGTGACCCACACTTAAGGAAATCGTTTTCCTATCTTTTTGGGAGGAAATATGTGGAAATGAAATGTTAATGAGAAGAGATGAGTTGTCACCATCTTATATGATGATGTGAGTGATTTGAAATGATGAGATGAGATGAGTTGAGTGATGTTGTGGATAAAAATAATATTTTATTAGATATGATGGATGAGTTGTTTGATGAAAATAATATTTTATTAAATATTGTGGGTGAGTTTTATGGATGAAAATGGATGAAATTGTATTTTTTGAGATTTTTACCTTTTCATTTCCATTTCTTGGTTTTTAGAAAATCAACCAAACAGAACCAAACAGACCCTAAAGTGAGATACAGAAAGAAAGTATTTTAAAGATGGTTTCTAAGGGGGGGTTATTCATTGGTGTAATTTGGGGGATAATGGGATAATTTTTGGAACATCACTTTTTGGTGTTATTCATTGGGGTAATTAGAATTGGAGTCAACTTTATGGTGTTATTGGTTTGTGGGGTAATTGGGAGACAAATACTCCACTTTTCCCTAAATTACATCAACTATATAAAGATCCCCTCCACCCCTTCCTCATAATTACTCCAAATTTACCCCATCCTCCATATTGGAACAATGTTGTTCCACTTTGAAGACAATTGGGATAATTTTAAATATTTTTGTATTACTTAACTAATACATGCTAATTATATTATAAATATATGATATGATATATAAAATATAACATATATTAATATTTTAATAACATAATTTAATAACATATATTAATAATAATATGTAATATATTATTATATAATATTAATTAGTAATTATAGTATAACGTATTTATTATATAATATATTAAATTAAATAATATATTATTAAAGTATTATATTAAATATATTATTCATATATTATATTAATTATTATATAATGTAGCATACTAATATAATGTTAATTAGTAATTATTGTATAACATATTATATTTTTGTATAAATAAAATAATGTATTATATTAAATATTATATTATTAAAATATTATATTAAATATATTGATATTATATTATATTAATTATTATATAGTATAGCATGCTAATATAATATAATACAATATAGCATACTAATATAATGTTAATTAGTAATTATTGTATAACATATTATATTTTTGTATAAATAAAATAATATATTATATTAAATATTATATTATTAAAATATTATATTAAATATATTGATCTTATATTATATTAATTATTATATAGTATAGCATGCTAATATAATATAATACAATACAATATAATAATTAATAATAATAATTTGTAAGTATAGTACAATATATTATATTTTAATATAAAGTAAAATAATATTTATATTATAATAATATACTAAATATTATACTAAACCAATTGGATAAGTTAATTTAAAAGTAATTAATAGATAAAATTATATTTTAATAAGATACCACATCATCAATTATCCCACATGAATTGTCAAATTAAATGCTAAAATTATCCCATTATCCTATTTTATTCCACTTTACCCCACTTAAAATATCCAAGGGGTAAAATTGTTTCCATTGAAAAAAACCATTTCTGGTGTAACCCGACCCAAATTAACGGGTCGGAAGTTACCATCCAAACCCAAAACCCGCGTCCCCTCCATCTCTCTCTCACCCAAAACCTCCGTCTCTCTGCATAATCCTCAAAACCCCTAAAATCAAATTAGGGTTCATGAAATCGCACTAGGGAAAAAAAATCAAGCAGACAATCAATGGTGGATCTCTTCAAAGATCACATTTTTGCAGGCCACGCAGTCGCCGCCTCTGCCTCCATCGCTGTCTCCTCTTCTCTCATTCATCCCATCGACACCCTCAAGACTCTCCTTCAAGTAGATTTGCTCTTTATTTCAGTGATTCTTTGGTTGTTTAACTTTTTTTTGTTAATTTTCTTGATTTTTAAAATTTATGAATAGGTTGGTGCGGGGGCTTCTCAGCAATTGAGCTTTCCTCAAGTGGTAGATCGAGTTTCATATGCATCTGGGCTTAGAGGTTAAATTGAACATGAAATTGCGATTTTTATTCACTTTGATGTTTACTTGCAATTGAGGAACAAGTGCATAAAGATAATGGAGCTAAAAAGTATTAGAAACTGCAATTCTTTGTTGCAAGATGACGATTCGGTGTTTTTAGTTACATTTATGATGGTTCAGAATCCAAAAAAAAAGAAAAGAAAAAGGATGAAATGTAATATAAAAGGGTTAGAGAAGAGAGAACAAGCTTATTGTCATAATCAAAATCTCTCTCTATAGGAGAAGATGTTCTATGAGAATATCTTCCTTATTTATGGATGAGTTCCATTTTCTTTTACGAAAGCATCTTCACTATTTGCAGCTGAGATTTCCACAAGAATCTTTCTTAATAATCGAAAGCAGTCTCCTGTAAACTTTGGAAACGAATGAACTCTTTATACGAAATCTTTGTCAATCTTTTTTATATTTTTGTGGCTTTTTGTTGGATGTAGAAATTCCACCCTTATATTTCCCGTTACATACGTCTCTCTTGTCAGGCACTTCACTGTCTACTAGGGTGTGAGCTTATTCTACTAAACTAATGATGTGATTTTGAATGGCAATAGGTTTTTTTGGGTGCTATTTGTCAACATCAAACATCAGAAACCACAATTTTATGCCATGAGATTGAATATAGCTGCTATTATAACACCAACACTCAGGGTATATGCAGTATGATTTCATTTTCATATTTTTCTTTTCCCTTGACCATGGACATCCAACTGCAAATAACCCTCCGTTCCCATTGGTCTTAATTTTCTAATATTTAACTTGTGTATCTAATTGTCCATTTTACTAAGGTAAGAGCATTGATAAGTATGCATATCATTTTGACTTCTCTATCAAGTTCCATATCCATTTATCTCAATGGGTGCCTCATAAATGATCTTTACTTATGTCAATTTGTTTAGGTCTATACAGTGGGCTTCCTTGGTTAGCACTCGGTAGCATTTCAGGGCTGGGCACTCGCTTTGGAGTATATGAAATTCTAACAGCTTTCTATAAAGGTATGCTTCGATGTATTGCAGTCCTTCATATCTAACAAATTGGTCTTAGGATCTAGAAGCCCAGTGGCTCTACAAACTGTCCATCCTCATGGTTAAAGTTCAAACTTAAAGCATATTATAAACATATTATAAACATATTAGTATATTTATATTTATATGCTGCAAGATGTGAAAGGCTAGGTATCTTTGTGAAGCATTATAGACCAACTTAAAGGCCATGCTGCTCAACATGTAAGAAATGAAAGTGGCGTTTATTTGTTATTTATTTATTTAGGAAATTATAAATGGCAAGAGATGCCTCCTCAATTAACAGAATGGAATCAATATCATTTATAATGATGAGGAACTTCAAATAAAGATCTTATGTTAAATTTCATACCATTAATGCAGAGCACATATGAGAAATGCCAAGTCACAGAAAAGATAGATTAATTGTTGAAATTAAATAAAATAATTAATAATTCAATCCAAAATCCGACTTCTAATAATTAGTGTAGTTTTAGCAGGTATCTGATAAATGTATTTTTTTGGCCCATGTTTCTATTGACATTTTTGTCGGAATGAGTTAGTTGATATATGCTAAGCAACGTTGTTCTTCTACAGTTTTTTAGAAGTGATATAATATTTGCAGCATTTAAGCTTTCTCTTGGAAGGATAAGCTGAAATTGGTTGCAGTTTGCTCTGTGCTATTATCTTTTCCTTTCACTAGAAAGAGAAAGCAATTGTGCCCAACACATCACGGGTTGTCTATTTTAATTTGACAGATGGAAGAGAAGATAACTATGTCTATGTATCTGAGGCCCTTTTAGCGGGCATAGCTGCTGGAGGTGCAGAGTCTGTTATGTGCACCCCATTTGAACTTCTTAAACTCCGGAAACAAGTAGCCAGTGCTTCTGGTTATAAAGCTATTAGCTCAGTTAAGGTCATGCAGGACTCTACAACGTTGATCTCAAAACTACTACCTTGTTATACTCCTGATATGAGGGCATGGAACAACACTGTTGGTATTCTTTCCAACGTCTTCCCCAAGCATGTTGACATTGTTGGCGCACTCAAACAGTACCCGTGGATGTTGACTGGTTCTGGAAGACCACCACTTGCATCTGAAGTTGCACGGCCTCGAGATATTATATCCTTGGAAGGTTGGAATTCTTTATGGAAAGGTCTTCGGCCAGGAATAGCTCGAGATTGTGTTTTTGGCGGTATTTTCTTTTCAACATGGCAATTCTTGCACATAGCAATGCTTAATTGGAAGGCCATTGACATAAATCCTCCACCCAGGTTTTTGCTCTCCCCTCAGTTCCTTGTGATATTAAGTAGTGAGCATTATGTGGAAGATTCAACTATATCATGTGATCAGATTGTGATTCTAACATATCTCACTATCAGTCTATCACAAGTTTTTTAACCTTTTAATTTTTTTATTCTTATTTGGGTTAAATCTTTTGCTCCACTATTGATATGCCTAATGATAAAAGACAGCACGTTTTTGAGAATGGATCCATCAGCATAGATTTATGGAAGCATTACTGGTTCTTTTAGTAAATCCGTATTTATGATGCTTCTAACAATAAAAGAGAGATATATTTATTAGATCTATCTGCCTGGGTCTATTAGAGCTTCTGCAAACATGAATGTTAACCCTGATAAGAGTGAGTGGTGAAAAGTAAACTGATTAGGTAGTTGCGGGCATCTAAGTCATGGTAATATAAGAATACCAATATGTCAGAAATTTTGTTTTCTACTTTGCCTATTGTTGCTTAGAAGAACTATAATAATATTCTGATATATGCAGAGTTTTGAAATATTAACAGGAGTAAATTGGTTTGCTTACCCTTTTCGTCAAGGTCTATCCCCTTAGGTTCTTTAAGTTCTGGCTTCCAAGTATATTTGTTTGTGTTGTCGATCTTGTTTTAAGAAATTAGCGAAATTAAGAGTATATTTTCCTGAAATACCTACATGCATTGTTTTAAATATCCCCGACATGGCCCGATCTATCCCCCGATATATCCTTTTACAGGGCTTGTCGCAATCGATATGGTCTTTAAATATCCTTTACCGCTTTTTGGCTATTTTGAGTGATAAATCCCTGATATGGCCGATATATTAGCCGATATGTGGACCAATATATCTTTTTATATAGCTTGTTGCAAAATTATATACCGTGTTTGGAATTTTTGGGCGAGATATCAAGATTTCCCCATTATATCAAATGACATTTTGCCCTAAAAAAAGCAGATCGAATGTTGCAACGTTGTTTTGCACTTTTGTTTGTTTTAGAAGGTTGATTAGTGATCCTAAACATATATTATTCATATTTTGTATGCTTAAATTTTATTACATATGTTGAGATTACATTTTAATGCATTATACTATGTATGCAAATATTCATTATGGCATTCCGATATTTACCACATATCCCCGATATTTCCCCGATATCCGCAATCCGATATGAATTTTGGCCATTCGATATTTCCCCGATATCCGATACTTAAAACCTTGCCTACATGCAGTTGTTGCTTTTCTCAATGCTTGATGAATGGTTCCAGAAAAATATTACAATCCATAAGGTTGCTCATTCATGGAATAAGTAATATAGAAGTTCCACAGAATATGACCAGTGATGCATTCAGCATAAGGGTTTATGATTAACATTAGTGGCTGGAATTTGATTGACATAACTGAAGGTAAGTATAAATGAAGAGAGGAAAGTCAATGGAGAGGGAGAAATAGTCCTTATTGAACTTAATTGTTAAAGAAGGGAAAAAATGGTCCAGTTAGCCATACTTGAACCAAAGTTCTTGGGTAAATTTTCCTTGGAGTCTAGTTCTAGATTTTCAAATTACAACCAATGAGAATTGGATTCAGTACTTCTTGTTTACCCTAAGAAAGGAAGAAAAGTTCAACTTCCTTTTGTATTGTGAAGCACATCTGATGCCATTATCTTTTAGACTTTTACTATGTTTTTCAGGTCAATCAATGAAGTTGACCCTATATCTCCTTTAGCTTCTAGTCTTGCTGCTGGGTTTTCTGGAACAATGGCTGCTGCTGCTTCTCACACCTTTGACACTGCTAAAACAAGGTCCCAGTGTATTGTTACGCCTAAGGTATTTTCGGCTGCTTTTTATTGTTCCTAAAATTCTGATCTATGTATGTCCTGGAAGCAATACTGCCACCTTCCACTGGCTGAATGAGATCAAAATGGATTTTTTTTTGAACTAGAGATGAATAGAATTCAATTCAACAAAAAAGTAGTGTAGTGGAGCATCTAGTTGAAAATTCATTGACAGAATGGAATGCCAGCAAAACAAATAATCGGTGAGTTGCAATTGATTGATTTTCTTGTTTTCAAAATCTTGCTCTGAATAAGGTACAGATAATCAGTGAGCGAATGGAAAAAGTTAATGATAGTTTTCTCTAATGAAAAACCATTCACCGTGGTCTTGTGCAAGACCTCCAGAAGTTCATTGTAGTTTTGTGAAATTTACTCTTTTAGTTATTAGCTTTGCCTGTTAAACCTGCTTGTTTTCTTTAAACTTAATTAAATGTGTGGGTGATGCCTCATTTTCATGTCTTCTCATTTATTGGTACCAGTATATAGCTATGGAAAGAAAGCTGCTGAAATGGAGTGCACCAGGAATTTGGATAGAGAGAGTTGCAGGAATGTCTCCTGCTGATAGAAACATCATGTTTCGTGGCATTTGGCTAAGGATGGCGCGAAGTGGCATCGCATCTTTTTCAATTGTTGGAAGCTACTTATTAGCTCTTGATCGTCTATTTTAATGATAATCTGGCTAATACTTGAAGCACCTGGAAAACAAGCAAAAAGTAATCCAAAATAGTTACAGTTGGTAACACTAATAGCCACCATTTCTCCTCTTCCTCAACGCTGGATGCCCATATTATTTGCTTCAGGCCTACAGGCCAGTACAGGTTCGGACTTGGACGCAATTCTGTTAAAAGTTGGAAATGGCATTGGCTTTTTTGTCGGGTTCTAATGAAGCTGAGTTGATTCTCATTGCCATTTTGTTCTTGGTGAATAAGGCCTCCCTAAGGGGACGCAGATCCTGTAAAGGAGAGTAATTTACATAAATTTTGACAGTCCAATATGAAGATGTGAAATTAATCCCTGGTCTGTGTTTTATGTATGAATTGTCTTTTTTTGCTTTATTTCATTATGTAGATGGTCTTTGCTTTGCAAATACTTGCTTTGCAAATACACTATCACGTATCTTTTTTTGGAACATTAACAATTTTTATCTTTGTATTTCCCAAGTGTGAGACTGATATTAGTCTTGATTTTTATTTATCTTTGTCAGGTTGGGTTAATATTGTTATAAGTACTTATCTTGCTTGTGCCGAATCTTTTATGCTTACTAGTATTAACCCAGTCCGATGGACGGAATAGTGCTCTTTGTTAATGCATATTATACGCCCATTGTGTGTCGCTTGCGCCGTTTTGTTTAATGAAACTTAAGTTTTATGTATTGATGTTTTATTTTCTTTTAAAACTCCCTTGTTCAGAATACATACATTATCTTGCATCTATTATATAGTATTGGTAGAAATATGTATTTACATACACTCACTTTGCTATTTTGTTTAGGTGTGTTTGGTTTAAATGAAAGTGGAAGAAAGGAAAAGAAAGACATTTTTCATTGTTTGGTTTGAAAGAAAAATAAAAAGAAAATGAAAACGGGAGAAAATAAGAAGGAAAGTAGGTTGAATTTTCTCCTGACCATTTCCTTGCCGAAACCCGGCGAAAATAGCAGGAAATTTTATCAGGGAAGAAGAAGATATAGGAGGTGAGGAGGGCGAGATCTCGAGGAGGGCCACGCATTATTTTCGCGTGGGGCCCGCAAGATTAAATGGGCATGCATCAAGCTTTATGTAGGCAATTAGGGGGTGTTTGGTTCAATTTTTATAAATTATAGAAAATGTTTTTTACCTAAAATATGATTTTCTTGTATTTCTTAAAAAAATTAAAGGATAAGTTTTGAGAAGTCAAAAAGTAATAATTTTCTTGTTTTTTTACTATGTTTGTTTGGTTCAAAACAAGAAAATGACCCATAACTTTATAGAAAATAGCTAGGTTTCCTATAATTTGTAGAAATTGAACCAAACGCCCCCTAAATTTATAGAAAAATGTTAATGTGGTGTTAGATTTCTGGGTGATTTTCTTCCATTTTGAGAGGAAATTGATTTCTATAAATTTTGGTAATTTTTTATACTTTACAGAATATATTTTTGTAAATTTTTTTGAACCAAACACGGTTTACGGAAATCTACATAAAATTTTTAATTACAGAATTGCCATTGTCAGACATTTTTGGAAAACTTTTCTATAAAATTGTGCAACCAAACACCCCATTAATCACTATTCCATGTGCGCACACATGAAAGTTTTCTTCCGCCATCTTTCTATTAGCTCATCTATATTTTTAGTTATTACGAGAGTTGTCCTGAAACATTAAAATTGCTATTGAGTCCCCAATTTTCATAAGTTATTTCAAGCTAACCTTTCCAATATAAGTGCGGGTTTCTGAATAAATTGATGGCTTATTTGCATTGACACATACTATAGTTTTCCCTACTTCGCACTTACATACCCTCAATGAGTTTGCTCCAATACCCTCAAATAATAAAGAAAATAACATTGTTTATTTTCCTCTTGATTTTCTTTTAATTTTCTTTAGTAACCAAACATAATAAAAAAAAAACTCATTTCAGTTTCATTTTCTTTTCTTTTTCTTTCCTTTTCCTTTTCATTTTCGTTTCCCTCATTTTACTTCACACCAACACAGCCTAAAAATATCTTGAAATGTACATATACATAAATATATAAATGGTAACACAACATATAAACAAACAACTATCTGATCCTAAAGACAACAAATAACTGAAATTAACTCAAAGAAGTCATTAGAAAAGTACATTTGAAAATTAACTTCTCTTGATATAACATCTAAACGGAACTAATGTCTACTTTTTTAACCCAAAGGCAACAAAAAATATCAAAAAACTTCAAGAAGATTGAAATGGGACTCCACCCCACTCACAATTGAAAGCAAATGGTGTTGACAATCATCATTTTATCCATGGATCATAAAATTGATTAGGCTCTCCCATTTAGTTTGACACTTCATGTATCATCCTCATCACGTCCTTCACATTCTTTGTATAAAATCCAGATTTCTTTCTCTTTCCCCAACACAGATCTCATGAAAGTGAAAATAACTTTAAAAGATCAGAGAGAGGACAAAATCAAAGCAAAGGTGTTGAAAACTATATCAATAATAGGGAAATTTTAGAATTAGTTATGTCTAAAGTCATGATAAGATCAATAAATTTAAATAAAAAGAAATCTCTTTATCCTAAGATGAATCTCCTAATGCTACTATAGGATCGTATGTTATCTTAGATTTAACAAAATACTTGCACATACATGAATATTCTTTCTTGAATTCAATAGAGAGGAGATTTGCTAAAGAAGCATCAACAATGAGGAAATAAATAAATTTGTAAATATTTCAATTTCCAAATATAATATACTTCTTTCATATTTCTTCTTCTCTAACTACCTAATAACAACTTCCCTGTTAATTTGAGATATAACATAACCGCTTCTCTAACAACTAAATATGAAGATAAACCATTCAAATAAATATTAGATATAAACTTACAATTTATAAGAAGAATTCTTCAAAAGAATTCATGCAATTTTATTGATATTTGACAACACGAAAAAGCATTCACAAAACTAACAACAGACTGTAAGCTTGGTAAAATCACAGAAAACCAATAAAAACTGTGAAATAGGAGATTTTTCTCATCTAAGAATCATGAAACTGGTTGACTACGGGGACATGGACGCAATGAGAGTACATCGCGCTCGAAGATATCGATCGATGGTGAGTAGTTCTGCAAAGAATTAATAAGAAAGGGGATTAGACTCAGCTATAGAGGCCTGAATGCAGTTCATTTTCAAACTCTACTTCTAACTGAAAGAAAATCGAGCATCATCCTAGTTCTTCTTGCAAGTCTAAACAGCTTTTTTCTAGACTCCAAAATCACCCATAAGTTTACCATACGTAACTACATAGACATTCTAAACCCCTCAAATACCTTAAAATCTCTATTTTCCCATAACAATCAACAATAATTTGACAAAAATCATAGAACACAACTCTAATTTTATCATTCTGCCATATATATCTTGCAAGGAAAGATGCCTTGCTGTGGAAAATGCAAGCTAGAAAGTACACATAACATCATATATCATGAACTCAAATAATTTTCTTACCATCCAAATAATAAATATTCAATTTTGGTAGTCAAAATGATAATAATATAATAGATAAAGGTAATATTAACACTCATCTTAGAAGGAAATTGACCTATATATCACAGCTTTATGTAATTAAGCATAAGTGAGATACAATTCTATTGGAATTATCATAATAGAATCCATAACGTTTGACCAAGTAATGACGTACTGTACACCTTATGAATTCACAAATTTCAAAGTCCATTTATTAACACAGAAGCAAACTCCGTTAATCTAAAATCATGTCCTATTTGATCATTTTCACAACATCATAATCCACCTATATGCCAAGAATGTAAAGCTTGAAAAGAAATATAATCCATTAAATTTACTAAACAGTTTGGATTATTCATAGTTAACAAACATGCTCTAAATGTAGAGATAATTTCACCAACTCACATAAAATAGTATATTACTAACAGTTGAATGGATACTTTTGATAACATATTATTAGACAACTACGTAGGAATGTAGGATACAATTTTGACATAGAATTGCCAATAAACCACACATAAAGCTAAAAACCTACTTTACGAATTTCTAGAGGCTTTTATCAAGTGAGAGGTTCTTTTCAAAGAAGCGAAAGAGGAAAAAGGAAAAAAAAAACCAAATTGATATATTTTGTTTACCTTTAGTGACAGTTTGACATATAATTTTTTTCGACGACATATTGGTATATTTTTTTTCTCCAGCGACAAAGGGACCATAAGTTTGGCCGGATCCAATTTTATGGTGATTTTTCTCACGTGACGGCTCACGTGATGCGGATGTGGCCCCAACGTGGCTTTCAGCGTGGCTGGGGTTAGCGGGAAGGAGTTGAAAGATTTCTGCAGAAAACCCCAGAAAAATTTCCCCCCATTCTCTTATTTCCCTCTCTTCCCCTTGAGCGTGAGAGCGTGATCATCCCCAAATTGCAGACAATCTAAGTGAATATCTTACATCTACATTAAGGCCGAAGAGGTTATTGGGGTTATTTCATCGTCTTTGGCATGGCGAAAAAGGTGAGTACAAATTTCATATTTTTGAAACTAATTTCAGTAGTTAGATGGTCATTTAGGATGACTAGGGTTAGTTGATGGGTTGAAATTTATGGTTTAGTGTAAATTAGGGTTTTTCATGGTAATAGCGTGTCGATTATAGATTTTACGTGTTTTTTGTTGTGAAATTTAATTATAATTAATGTTTATTGAATAATTTAGTGGTTTGCTTATTTATTTTGGGGTTTTTGATTGTGATATTGCATATGGGTATCAATATCATGGTTAAAAACAGACATGGAGGAAATTTCCCACTTAGCTATGTGGAAGATTATATTGGTGGTAAATTTGATGTTAGATTTATAGATAAAGATGAACTAAATATAGAAAGACTGAATGATTGAGCTTAAAGCAATTGGTTATAACAAAGACAACTAGTTGTTCTACTGTATTCTTGGTGTAGGAGTTGGCAATAGTGGATTGAGGTCTCTAAATTCAGAAGATTCCTTAATTGATATGTTAGAACATGCGGAAAGGGTGAAGGCAATTGAAATCTTTATTGATCATGCAGTAGATGAACCTATAGAAGTTTTTATGGATGCCTCTGTTGTGTTGCTGTTGGATGATGTGAGTCAACCAATTAATGAATCAATAACTCAACCAAGTCAAGCAAAAGCACAAGAAGCTACTATTGATGCCACTACTACTAATGCCACTCTTATGGGTGACAAGGCAGATGTGCATGCGCAACAAGCGACCACGAAAACTCCTAAAAAGGAACTAACACCCAAGAGGAAGACAACCAATCCTTCAACTTTCAAGAAGAAACTAACACACAAGAGGAAGACAACCAATCCTTTAACTAATTTCAGTAAAACTCTGTCATAACAAAAAAGTTCTTCATCTAGTGATAGTGACAACTCTGTAGAGGATGAGAATTACAGAATTGATCCTAGGGAGGCTTTAAATGATGATGACAGTAATGAAGATGATCTTTTTGATGAGTTTAGCAATATTAGCAAGGT